TGCTGCTTTTTTTCTTTTAATATATCATGGACATCTTCATATGTCAATACACAAAGATCTATTTTTCCTTTTCCAAATAATGCATGCTTAAGTGTTTAGGCATGAAGTATACTAATGTCTTTGCTTTGAAATGTATAAAGAATGAAATGAATGATGCATGAAGAGATTTGCTGGATGGACAGATGGATAGAGATGTATCCATGTATGATGGCAGAAATAGCAAAATGTGAATTGTAGAAATCTAGGTGGAGGCTCACTGTACTATTCTTTCAACTTTTCTATATATTTGGATATTTGGATGTATTTGGATATTTTCATAGCAAAATTTTGGGGAAAGTATGAGTCAAATTGAATAATATGGACAAATGTACAAATATTAAAAAATAAATTATAAAATTATTTCTTTTGCTACAAAATTATAATTTGTCACATGTTAAGGGTGTGAATATAATTTTATGGATTAAAAAATCAAATGTCAACTGCTCTATTGAAAATATCCATTTTTTAAAAAAGATTTTATTTATTTATTTGACAGAGAGAGAGAGAGAGAGACAGCGAGAGAGGGAACACAAGCAGGGGGAGTGGGAGAAAGAGAAGCAAGCTTCCCACGGAGCAGGGAGCCCAATGCGGGGCTCGATCCCAGGACCCTGGGATCATGACCTGAGCCGAAGGCAGACGCTTAACAACTGAGTCTCTCAGCCGCCCCAGAAAATATCCATGTTTTTAAAAAGAATAATTAATGTAGGTGTACACAATCATAAATGTTGGATATGTTTGTAACAGAAAAAAATGGGATGGCAATTCCTATTCTGTGAGTTGTTTATGTCCTTTACATCTTTTCACCTTTAGAGCGACTCTGAAATTTTGTGGAGTGCCTATCCAAAAATACATAGCACTCTACTTCATCTCATACCAATCTCCTACCTTGTTTGTTAAAGAGGCAACGGGTATGTGTAGCCTGAAAGGGCGCCCAGGTAACCTTAATACTGACTGAATCTACAATTACTTTATAGCCTGACCTCCTCCTAGCCCAGGGGCAAGGCAGTCCTGAGTCGGAAGCGCTGAGAAAGCCCAGGGATGAGGTACATGGTAGAGGAGTCAGAGAAATAACCTAGTTTGGAGATAGGTGTGAAAATAAAAGGTATAAAAAGCCTCGGTTGGGGCACCTGGGTGGCTCAGTCAGTTAAGCATCTGCCTTCAGCTCAGGTCATGGTCCTGAGGTCCTGGGGTCCTGGGGTCCTGGGATCGAGCCCAGCATTGGGCTCCCTGCTCAGCGGGGAATCTGCTTCTCCCTCTCTCTCTGCCCCTCTCCCCTGCTTGTGCTCTTTCTCTCGCTGCTCTCTCACTCACTCAAGTAAATAAATAAAATCTTTTTTTTTTTTTTTTAAAGCCTCAGAAAGTGGAAAAGGACTGGAGGAGAATGGGGTAAGGGAAGGGCTGGGCCAAGGCAGCAACTGGGAAAGAGGTGGAGGCAGATAGGTTAGGGAGGGGAGTTATCAGTAATTCCTTACAATAAGAGAGGGAAGAAACTATGTTTACACCAGGAAGGGTGGAGTGTTTACATAGAGAAGTGCTATACTTTGGGAGAGGCAAGTGCCAAGAAAAGAAAATACTGGAAGTGCGAAACAGACTTGGAGTTTCTAGGGCTAGAAGTTTGCTTGTGTATTAGAGAGAGAGGGTTAAGGTGGGGTTTATGGGTGAGAATATCCAGGGGGACCAATGGCCTCAAAGAGAATGAGCAAGGCTACCCCTGGCCCCCAGTGGAGGAAGAGTCTAATTGCACTGCCTGACTCTTGCAGAACAGTGTCAAATGATAGTGGTGCTAATAAGCATTCTTCTCTTGGTCTTGGCTTAAATAGAATGCCAGGTATAGCAAGATGCTTTTGGTTTGAGACAGATTTCTTTATGAAATTAGGTATCCTAATGTAGTTATTATGTAGTTATTATTAATAATGTATTTATTTTCAGGAATGAAGTTGAATTTTCAGCATCAAGATGATGGTTTTTTTCTTTGACATGTTAAAATGGTCAGTTATCACTATTGCATTTCCTGTTTCTGAATGAACTTTACATTTCTGAGAAAAACTCTACCTGGTCATGGGATATTATTATTGTATTATTTTGCCAGATTTGATTTGCTAGTGTGAGATGTTTGTACCTAATATTGATAGTGAGACTGATACAGTTTTCTCTTTTAGTACTCTTTGTCAGGATTGATACCATTTTTATACTGGGTCCCCAAAATAAATCTGTAAATTTTCTTTTTCCCTCTCTCTGGAAAAAATTATGTAATGTAGAAATGATCTGCTCCTTGAAGGCTTGAATGAATGGCCTGTGAAACCATCCAGCACTTTGTGGGTGGGAGGGAAGGATAGATCTTGACAACTTTATGTTAAAGTAATACATGTCTATGGTAAAAATTTCAAACTGCATGAAAGTTTATACAACAAATAGTCCTCCCTTGAAAGTCATTAAGTAGTCCCTCCCACCTCTTACTGCCAGTCCCTCCGTTTGTCTCCTGAGGCAACCACTGTTACCAATCTCTTGTGTAGCCATTGGGACATAATCAGTGAAAATTCAAGTATATGAATATATATTCCCTCCCCCTTACTTTTTACCCAGATGGTAGCATACCATACAAACTGTTCTGTACTTTTCTTTTTATATATTTGATTTTTCATTTCCAAAATTTTATCCCAACGAAATTCCCTACTTCCTTTTTGAATTAATTTTGACCATTTTTCTAGGAAACTGCCTGTTTCCTCAATATTTTCTAGTTGTTTTCTTAGAGTTGCGCTTTGTATTGTCCTGTAATTTAGAACAACTAAAAAAGTTCTCCATACCTTTTGGCCTAAATATTAATCTCACTTCCACCACTTACAAAGTTTCTGGGCAACTTTGGGCAAGTCATGTTGAGTCCTGCTGCACTGTAAATGTTCATAGTCTAACAGAGGGTAATGACCGAAAGCGTGTTAAAGAATACTGAGTTTGGCAATTTTGTAAGATATATTTGCAACTAAAACATAAAATAATTCTGGGGCGCCTGGGTGGCTCAGTCCTTAAGCGACTGCCTTCAGTTCAGGTCATGATCCCAGGGTCCTGGGATTGAGTCCCGTATTGGGCTCCCTGCTTGGAGGGAAGCCTGCTTCTCCTTCTGTGTGCCGCTCCCCCTGCCTGTGCTCTCTCTCTCTCAAATGAATAAATAAAATCTTTAAAAAAAAAACAGAAACATAAAATAATTCCTATTTTAGGAGCATGTCCCTATGCCGCCTGCCTCCTCTACAACCTTTCTTTCTGAGCTTTTTCTTCACAGCATATTACCTCATATTCAACCTGTACCCTATTAGTTAAATGAGGGAAACTGACATTTTAGCCGGAACTAATTAATGCCTAGGGAACCTGAACACTGACTGCCTGAACAATTGTTTTAGGACCTGTCCTCATCTTAACCCAGCATCAGAGCCATCTTGAAACCAGTAGCAAAGAGGCCAAGAGAAGAGGTTAGGTGGCAGAAGTCGGAGCTTGGGGTTAGGGAGAGATAACTTAATTTTGGAGGTTGGCAAGGAAATAGAAGAGATTATCAACAGCCTCAGGAAAACGGGAAGGGACTTGGTAACCTGATAACAAGTGCCGGAAATCTGGACTGGGGTGAAAGCGGGAGGGGTGGAGTGGGTGGCGAAGCTGGGGCTGGGGAATTGTACCTAATATTCTCTTGTAAAAAAAATGTTTAAGGGACTCCTCGCTGGCTCAGTCATTAAATGTCTGCCTTCCGCTCAGGTCATGATGCCGCTGTCCTGGGATCAGCCCCACGTGGGGCTCCCTGCTCAGCGGGGAGTCTACTTCTCCCTCTCCCTCTGCTCCCTTGCTCCTGCTCTCTCGCTCTACCTCAAATAAGTAAAATCTTTTAAAAGAAGTTTCAAATCTATTGGCCTCAATTTTAATATCACTCCCATCAGTACTTGAGCAAGTACTGAAAATGTGCTTGAGCTGAAGAATTATGGGAATATTTAAACAAAAAAACCCCCACACAAGCCCCCCTACACCCCCACCCCAACATTTATTTGAGAATTTCGTCCCACCATATTCCACATTCTTTCTTTTTTTAAAGATTTTATTTATTTTGAGAGAGAAAATGAGACGGGGGAGGGTCAGAGGGAGAAGCAGACTCCCCGCTGAGCGCGGAGCCTGATGTGGGACTCGATCCGGGGACTCCAGGATCATGACCTGAGCCGAAGGCAGTCCCGTAACCAACTGAGCCACCCAGGCGCTCATCCACGTTCTTTCTTCTTAAATTTACGACTTGATTTCTTTCTGGATTGCCTATCCAAAAATAGAAAGCACTTTATTACACACCCATCCCTACCCTGTTTGTTAAAAGCGGAAACCTGATATTCATACCACCAAAGGACACTCAGGTATCCTGAATCCTCCTTGCATCAAAAATGATTGTATTACCTGATCGCATTTTAACCCGGGCCCGAGATAAAATGGAGTGAGAAAGACCCGGAATTAGGTAGGGAAAAAAGGTTGGGACATGCAGGTTTGTTTTTGTTGTTGTTGTTGTTGTTATTCTTACAATAATCACCCTCTTTTTGACCTTAAACATCTTTAGTACTTGCTCCAAATCACTTAGCAATTTTAGAAGTTGTAGTGAGATTAACATTTTGGCCAACGTATATAGAGAAGCTAGCTTCGCCCCTCCTCAAAGGGGGTGAGGGGATAAGAAAAGTAATCTTGTATAGTTTATAAAAGCTGGGAAGTGCAAAGCGGCTGGTAGTGGGCGGGGGGGGGAAGCGCAAGGCAGGAGCGACGGCGGAGGAAGCAGGTGGTCAGGCGGGCTTGATTTCTTTATTCAGAAGCACGGGAACGCGAATTTCTTCTGCCGCCCGGGGAGGCGCAGGCTTTTTCCGCGAAGTGCTAGCTCTGCGGACCCGCCCTGAGAGCGAGAAACGGGTGCGCGGGTGCGATGGATTAAAAAAAAAAGGCAGCCGTGGACCGATCTTAGGCTCGGGGTTGAGTATGAAAAGGGGGAGCATGTCTAAAGGGACCCGCGGTCCCTAAGAAGCGAAGCGAGGCGCGGCGACTCGGACCTCTCCCGGACACCCGGAGGACAGGGACAGCAACGTGTGACGGGACCGACAGCCGTTACCAGGCGCCTTTCGGTGACGCGACCGCAGCGCGATGACGCGCGCTGACCAGCCGCGGCCTCCACGTCTCAGGTTCCGCAAAGGCCTGTGGGAGCGACCGGGGAGAAGGAGGGCCAAGATGGCGAAAGCGGCCGAGTCTTCAGGAGACCCGGGGACAACATCGCCCAGGCCCCTGGTGAGCTTGGGTTCTGCGGCAAAAGGGACTGAGGGTGAGGCAGAGTGCCCTTAAGGAAGTCGGGTGACGGGCTCCTGGCCGGAGAAGGCCCGAACTCCTTCCTCCCGGTAGGCCCTTCCTATACCCGATGCCAGAACCAGTCTCAACACTGCACCTGCTCTTTGGGCTAACCGCTTCCCCCCTGTCCTCCTCGTTCCTTCCACGCCTTCTTGTGAAACTCCTATTCATTTTCCTGTCCCATACTCTCAGGGCTTGTCCTCCTCCCGTACATTGTGTTAAATGCTGAGCTTTAGGTGATTTCTTAAGTATCTTTGCCCCTGCTGTCCTTCATGTTATCAAGTTCTGTCACTAGTTCTTGTTGGAGTAGCAGCATTCTTGGATTAATGAGATTGCTTCCCAAAGGACGTTATAACATGATTATTGATTTGTTCAGTGACCTCAGTAGTCTTGATTTAATCCCTGCCCTCCCTGTTGCAGTTCCTTGCAATGCTCTTCATGATGCCCTGCTGTTCATGATGCTGTCTTGCTCCTGTCGCTACAGGGGGTACGATTTCCATTGCAAGTACAAGCCCAAAGCCTGGACAAGTATTTAAGAACACAAGTTTTGGAGTTAAACTTACCTGGGCTGGAATCACCCGCTCTGCCTCTTATGAGAGTTTGGGCAAATCATTTCATGGAGAGTGTTTCTTCATCCGTAAAATGGATATAAAAATACCTGCCTCAAAGAGTTTTTAGGAAGATGAAATGATATAATTTATGTAAAGTGTCAGACACAGTGTCATGAACTGAGGAGTGTAATTATTCAACATTCTGCCCTAAGATCCCTCTTCCCAAACGGTGTTCAGTTTTATAGCAGTTTAATAAATGGTACATCCCTTTCCTCTGTTTTAAATTGGCAAATTCACAGCAGAGGACTGAACTGGGAGTCAGGTGAAATTGCTTCTAGTCCTGGTTCTGCTTACTAGCACTATTTTTTCATCTCTTCATTCACTCAACAAATATTTATTGAGCATCTACTGTGTTCCCGGCACTCCTTTAGGCACTGGGGATACAGCAGTGAAAGAGAGTGAGTGGGTTCAAGTTCTCATGGAACAATTGTGACCTTGAGGAAGTCACTCTCAACCCCAGTGTCCTCATTTGGAAAATGGGATAGTAACTCATCACAGAATTAATGAGAGTACTAATGAGCCATTATTATACACACAGTGCCTCGTGTGACATAGTTACAGGTGCTTAGCTGTTTTTAGTTCCTGTTCCACCTCTTTTTTTTAATGAAGTTTTCCCCAATTAATTTTAGTGGTTCTGGTCATTCATTACTCAATGTCCAATCCACTTCTACTCAGTAATGTTTATTGAACTCCCACAATGTGCAATGCATTATGCTAGCTGTTTTAGGGCATTGCCCTAAATGTTTTAGGGCTTGCCCTTATGGTGCTTACAGTCTAATACGACACAAGTACAATGCTAAAATAAGGCAGTAAATCAGAGAGAGTTACACGTAAAATATTAACAAAATTTAAAGGAAGATGCTATCATGTCCAGTTGGGGTGACAAAGCAAGCTACACAGTAGAAGTTATATTTGAGAGGGCGTCAAAGGGTGGGTAAGATTTGAAATTTCAGGTGAGCATAAGAGCTATCAATGATTGAGCACCTGCTATGTGCCAAGATTGTACTAGACATCCTCTGCATATTTTCTAAACTTCACAGCAACCATTTCAGTTAGGTGGTTTTTAAATTGTGTTTTACTTGCAGATGAGGAGAGGAGACTCAGAGAGGTTTGATCATTTCCCTAGGGTCTTAGAACCAGTTAGTGGCCAGGCCTAAAATTTGAAACTAGGTCTGCTTCTGAAGCCCAGATTATTTCCATTAAGACTGCACAACCTCTCAGAAGTTGGGAGGTGTTAATGTAGTTATAGAACAACAGGTAGATCACTTTGGCTAAATTACAGGGAAGTCTTAGGAGGTAAGCCTTAAAAAAAATAAGGCCACTGAATTAGGGAGCAGTATGAAACAGTGGTTAGGAATTTGTGCATTGGGGTCAAATTGCCTGGGTTTGATTCCCAGCTCTGTCATTTAACCTCTCCATGCCTCTGTTTCCCCATCTGTAGAATGAAGATACAGTAATAATTAGCTCATAGGGTTGTTAGTGGATTAAATGAGTTAAGACATGTGAAACACTTGGTAGAGTGCCTGGCACGTAATGATCATACAATAATAATAATGATCATACAATATTTCTTCTTACTGACTACTAACCTTGGAGGTTTAATAGGCAATGAGGAGCCAGTGGAAATTTTTGAGGAGGGAAGGGTTTAAAATCATGAATTTGACAACATAATTGAGGGAGAGTTACCATGAGGAATGTTTGGAAGCTAGACTAGCGAAACCAGTAGTTCTAGGAACAAGTGATTGCTACCTGGACTATAGCAGTGGTGGGAGCCGTGAAGACTGGACACAGGCAGGCTCCTTGAGGGTTTGGAGTGCTAGGGAGACTGTGTCTTGGATCAGAGTTTTTCGAACTGTAATGTGCATAGCAGTCATCTGGGGGATCTTGTTAAATGGCAGATTCTGATTTGGTAGGTCTGAGAGGACACCTGCGATTCTGCATTTCTGACAAGCTCCCAGGTGATTCTGCTGCCACTGCTGCTCCCAGTACCACATTTTGCAAAGCAAGATACTGATGCCCTGAACAGAAATACGTAAGAGGAGGATGAGGACCGTAAAAGTTGATTAATTCACTTTTGGACATGTTTAGTTTGAGATATTGGCAGGCCATCCAATAGATATCCAGCAGGCAGTTTGTCTAAAACCTGGACTTCAGGGCTCAGAAGTCAGGACTAGGTTTAATTAGGAGTCATTTGCATAGAGTTGAGAAGACAGTCTTTGGTAACACTTATCTATTGTTTGTCTGTTTAGGGAGCAGGAAAAAGAGTTATAATAATGGCTTTAGCCTGAGGTCTGGAAGGCCTCAGGTAAAGGGGCTGGCTGGAGACCACACCACTAGTCACCCCTTCCCACTTCTTGGAGCCAAGCCTCTTGGACTGAGCTGGTTTCTGCTTGATGCCTGCCCCCCCAACTTGTTGACTCTTTGCTCCAGGATTTTGGTCAGTAGTATAACCCATCTGGTCCCAGCTGCTTTCTTAAGTCTGCAGTCCCTGCTTCTACTGTATCTTTTTGGCCCTGCCTCTACCTGCTCCCCTCCTTGGCCCAAGCCAGGCAGCAGAGTGTACACATGGGTTTCTGTGCACATGTGTGCATATATGTGCATGAGCCTGCCTGCAGATGGAGAAGGGAAGAGACATTGGGTCCAAGGCACCTTTCATCCCCACTGAGAGGCTAGTCAGAGAGCAAGGTCCACTAGACCTGACTAGCTGAGGGCCTAGAAGTCCTGTTTGTCATAGGTGGTGCTTGAAGTCCACAGATCCTGGCTCAGCTCTCTGAACCGTATCACTGATTCTCCTGAGAAGAGATACTAAGGAAATGTTGGGATGGGGGATAGGATAGGAATCACATGACACTTTAGTGACTGCAGTGACTTCCAAAACCAATTAGCTGGAGTTAGGCCAAACTTCACAGGTTAAGGGCACAGTCTTCCACAAGACTGCCCTTACTTCAGACCCCAGCCACAGGTTTGGATGTTCCCAGGACCACCCTTACTTCTGACCTACTGGCTGCAAATTCAGGGGTTCCCATGATCCCCTCAAGCTCCATACTTCACTAGAATGGTTCATAGAATTCAGGACAGCACTATACTTAAAATGACAGTTTTATTATAGCAAAAGGATACACTCCAAACCAGCAAAAGGGGGAGATGCATAGGGTGAGATCTGGGAGGGTCCCCCTAACACAAAGCTTCCTGTCTTCTCCCTGTGGAGTCAGGACCCTGTTAACCCCCTGATACATCAATCTGTGACAATAGGCAGAATATTGCCAACCAGTGAAGTGCACTCATGTATCTAGAGTCTTTATTAGTGTTTCTTTATGTAGGCATGATTGACTAGGTAGATCATTGACTCCTCCCCTACCCAGAGGCCAGGTTTATGTCACACGAGTCAAAGCTTCAGCCCTCTAATATTGTGTTTTGTCTGTCTGGAATGGTTTGCCCCCATGCTGAGTCATCTCATTAGCATAAACTGTCTAGGGGCCTACCATGACTCACCTGTTAGCTAAACTGTTAGGGCCCACCATGAATAACAAAAATAACACTATCATTTAGGAAATTCCAAGGGTTTAGAGGCTACCTTGCAGGAACAGGAGACAAAGGCTGGCCAAATTCCCCATTTTATACAAGGGACAGAACTGGAATTGACCCCCTGGGAATCTTGAACTAGAGCTAACATGTATCTAGCCCCTGCTGTGAGCCTCTTACTAAGTGCTTTACACATAGTAATGCATTTCTTCCTCACAACAACCCTGTGATGATGATACTGTTCTCTCAGTTTTATAGATGAGGAACTGAGGTATGGAGAGGTTAAGGAACCTGCTCAGTGTCACGTAGGTAGTAAATGTTAGAGCTGGGTGGCTTCCAGCAGCCCTCTTAACCAATACGTATGTTGAACATTGACCGTGTGCTAGGTGCAATGCTGCTGTTACCTAATTCTTACGATGGTGTTGTCTCCAAGTGAGAGCAATTTGGCTTTGAAGCTCATTCCTTCTGTACTGCTTTGCCTTCCCTAGCAGTTGCAGGCAGCATGAAAACTCAAAACAGCAGTCCTGGAGCTTGAAAGGTCAGTGTCATAGTAGTGAGAGAAGACAGCTGCAAAAGGGGTGATTGACATATTAAGTGCTGAAGAATATTCAGAGGGTGAAGGGATCCTTGTACTTCTTGGTTATGAGGTCACTGTTACAGAGTCGTGGGGAAAGTAAAGTTGTGGGAAGGCCAAGTGCCAAGTTACAAAGGATTAAGGGAGTGGGCAAATTGCAGAGCAGTTTGATCAGGGAAGAAGAGGGGAAGGAGAGTAGTTCGAGGGAATGGCAGAAACAAGGAAATGGTGTATTT